AAAATTGTCATGCATTTTCATGAAATTTTCTAATTTATGAGAAAAAGGAGTGTACATGGATATAGTGAAGAGTGTGCGCAATGCCATTTGTGTAATTCTGGGAGTTTTTTTAAGTAAAAATAAGTCGACGTGTACATGGTTTTTATGTGTATGTGTTATTTTGAAAAAAGCATAAGAAGTATGGTATTGTGCACTTTTTCCCAATTTGCAATGAATATTTGTCATGATAAGCAGTTTTGTTAGATAAAATTTTCTAGCATAAGTGTAATTCGGCTAGTAGATTGTTGGAAGAAGTGTTCAGTAGATAAAAAGAAAAGAAACGTCTTTACTTCGTGAAGACAAAATGGCGGCGGGAAAAACAAAAAAATAGAGGGTTGCTGTAGGAGAGTTGGTCGCCAAAAAATCGCCAAGTTACCATAATGTAAAGAGCAACCGATAATTTTAGCCTAGCTTGTACCGTCCGTTATACATTAAGCGTGCATGTGTAAATGTATTATGCACATGCGTAAACGCATATGCGATGCGCAAAAAGTTTGTAGCTTTGAGATCCAGATTATAGATCATTCCGGATTAAAGACTTTGTATTAAGTTAGGAAAACAATTCTGAAAAGTATTTTTATATTTTTCTAATATGATACTTTTTCTTTTTATAAATAGAGATTGAAAATTGTGCAACATTAAAAATTTAATTTCACAAACTCTAGTTTAAATTGCTATTGACAATAAGTTTATTGATATGATGATTCAGTGTAGTGAATGGTGTGAGAAAGACCTGAAAACGTAACAAAATTTGTTAACAATGAATAAAATTATAATTAAAAAACTATAGATATATTATAAGGTTATCTTGGTCTGTCTTACATGCTTTGTCAACACCTGCACTGACCAACAGAGGATAAGCAGTGTCATCTAGCCATGTGGCATGGGAAATATGTAACAAAGCTAAATGAACACAAATCTGATTTCTAATTAACTTTACTAATATCTATTTTTCTTAAAGATTTTATGACTCTTTCAGCATCAGTTACACATTCTAAATTTTAGTGACAGAATAAATGTAAAAAATCAGATTATAAATGAAATTATGGTACAACTCTGATATACGCCCTAATTTCACCAAATGTGGCGATATGTATTCTGTGCTGGTTTTTGGCACGACTGCGTGTTGTATGGCAACCCTGTTGACGTTGAAAAATCTTTCGGTGAAGTTCATTGGTTTCCGTCATGCTCTGTGTCTGAGAAGCTAGGGGGGGGAGATAAAATGGTGGAAGTAGTTGAATTGAAGTTCGGCAAAAGGAAATATTGTCGTAGCCATCCTGTTGAGGGGCAGGAGGTATTTGGAGGTGTGGAAAGAGGGTCTGGGAGATTATTTTTAGTGGCTGTGCATGATAGAAGTAGGGATTTGTGATTATTTTATGTTTATTTGGGAACCATAATATGAATTTTCTGGATAGTGTGTCTGGCTGTCATATAAATATGATAGTGATTATGTGGCGGCGTTAAAGGCGGTTGAAATGGTATTTCGGCTGCATTAATTCATGGTAAGGCATTTTATTTTATTCTTGTTCTTATTTTAGCATGTTTATTCAGCTTTTAGTATGAATTTGTTATTATTGCTGTTTTTTTTTTTTTTTTTTTTATTTTTTTTTTCTTTTTTTTTGAATTTATTTAGTTATTTGTTGATTAGTCGTACCGTTTTAAATTGAGCAATTCCTAGATGATTTTTTAAAGTTGAACAGGACGTGTATACATGGTATTCTTGAAATTATGTTTTATGTTAATTATTAAAGTTAGTTGTGTGTAAATCGTAGATTCGTTTTTGCCTAAATTGTGCAATTCGTGATGTTTTTTAAGTTGAAACAGGATGCTGTGGTAATTTTTCTTTGAAATTGATTGTTGTTATATTAATGTATTAAGTGAGGTGTTAGTTCGTGATTCGTTTGTTGCTAAATTGTGGAATCGTAGAATGTTTTTTTAAGTTAAAACATATCATGTTTCATGGACTCTTGTCAATAATTTTGGTTAGAAACTTTACGGTTTGCTATCTAATTTTTTTTTTTCGTTTCAATTTTTAGCTTAAATTGTGTGTTCAAAACGTGGTTTTTGCATTCGCAGAAACCGTGTTTTTGGAGACATTTTAGGCTTAAAGGTCGAAATGTAAACAAAAAATTTAGATAGCAACATGGCAGCGTGGAGTTTCTCGCCAAAAATGTTTAGCGAGAAATTTGGCGACTTGAGGGCGCATATCAGAGTAGTTCCGAAATTAAAACTCAATTTTTTGTGACAGCCAATGAGAAATTAGCAGTTATAATCAAAATTTAAAATTCTGCAATATGCAAGAATACATGAACATTTTCTACAAACACTTAATTACTTTTACAAATTTGTCAGCAACAGACCTATACAAAGTAGCAACATATATTAGAAAACTATTTTCATACTTCTAAATTCTAGAATTTTTCAAAACATGATTAGTGATAAATTCTAATAGCATTTGAAATCAATAATATCATTTTAACAAACATCAAAGTATTTTATTTTTGCCCTAACAGTTAATTTAAATTATATCATAGTAAAACATTGATATTTATTCAGACTAACACTTCTTAAGTACCAACAGTATCAAAAATACATAAGTATACATGATTACTAAGTTTAACTAAGAAAACTGTATTTTTTCGTCCAGTGCTAAAACCATACATCATGAAAATCTTAGTTTAAAAAATCATAAAATTATTTTTAAAAATTTAAAATCTTTGGAAGAGTTTTTTATAACAATTTTTTAATACTCCATAGTACTTTACATAACTTCCTAACATGTACATCTTCGTCATTGAACAAACCATTACAAAACTTGCCAATTCAAGATTCTGGTGATGCTGATTACATATAACTTCATTTTATAAATAAAGGTAATTTAAATCACTTCTTTTATATATGGACATACAGTTCACCTTTAATTATATCTGATTTATCAGTCGTGTGACAAAAAACTACATTTTACAGGGATTAACTTAAACTTTCTCTTTTATACAATAATTGACGTATTTTTCCTCTGCTTTTATTTACTGAAAACATGATCTACATAAATGAAGGCGAAATTTGGAAATCTAAAATCAATCTGGGTTGATCTTTACAATATGGTAACTGGTAGTTTGGCGACATTTTGGAGGCGATAAAGGTTACCACCTGGGACTTTGGTAATAATGTGAGCAGTACTCAGTTCCATTACGCATTATTTTTGGAGTGAATGGAGATCATGGCTATGTCATGTGATATTATGACGAAGGACGTTCTTGAATTGGAAAGGGGGAAAATCAGGAAAAAATCTAAATTGTATTTTGGTTTATTTGTGTTTGTGTTAAACGTGTCTTGAATTTTTGGATCCCATGGCTTAACTAAAAAAGTTTATCGGACACTATCAAGATCTGAAGAAGATTAGTAAGTTAGTAGTTTTAATTATTGAGGATATTATTTTATTATGCATTGTTCAAATGAAGGTGAGTAAAGGAATTTGGTATTATTGGGAAATTGTTTATTACATGATTAGTTTAAAGTAATTAGATTGTAAGTATTTTTTATTAATTAATGTTGTGCTCATTTAGATTTTAATAGTTTTTTAATTAATTATATTTTTAATTAAATGATATTATTTGTGACTTTTATTTTGTAGGAATTTGGTATACGTATCCGTATTTCCTATATGTTCTTTTTTTTACCACCGGGTTTAAAGATTGAGAAATGTCCATGTATTTTCGTGAATTTTTCTACTTGATGAGAACAAAAAGTGTTACAGGATTAGTGACGAGTGTGCTCAATGCCATTTTGGTGCAATTCTGTCTGGATTTTTTTTAAGTAAAATAAGTCGACTGTACATGGTTTCGTGATATTTTAATTAAATGATGTTTTTTTGTGATTTTTATGTTTGTAGGAATTTGTATACGTTTAAGTTGAAGTAAACGTGCTGGAAAGAATTTAAATATTTTATACTAAGTATTGTAATGCTTGCGTATGAATTCGTTGGTGACGTGTATAATGTAATGATGATTGAGGTCAAAGTTTTTTGGATATTTTATTTATTTTATTTGTGAAATTCTATTTGGATGGGTAAATACTTTTTTTCGCGATCAGTAATTTCATATCTGGTTCTTTTTACCGGGTTTAAGATGCAATGCATTTTGTTTTTTGTGCATTCTGGATGTTTTTTAAGTAAAATAATCGCTGGTCATGTTTAGTGTATGTGTTATTTGAAAACGCTAAGAGTATGGTTTGTGCACTTTTTTCCCAATTTTGCAGTGAATATTTTTCATGATTAAGCATTTTTGTTAGATAATTTCTAGCCTAAGTTATTCAGCTGTAGTTGTTGAAGAAAGAAGTGTTCAGTAGTAAAAAAAAGCAAACATGTCTTTACTTCGTGAAGACAAAATGGGGGCGGGAAAACAAATATAGTTGCTGTAGAGAGTTGGTCGCCAATTTCGCCAAACAACGCCAGTTTTTACCATATGTAAAGATCAACCTCAATCTGAGAACCACTACTAATTTTTGTAAGTAATGACTATTTCCCGATTTAAAATTTATTTTAAAATTTTAATACCTTTTACACTATGATAAGAAACATAAAAATACCAGAAAATATCAAACCTATACGAAAAAAGAAAAAGAAAAAATTAAATATGTATTCTAAGTCCAACCCATTATTTAACTTAACATAGATAAAAATATTAAATTTTAAACTCAAAACTGATGTGAAATACCCAGCGAAATTTCCAGGTACAATTAAACATAACTTGGTTCATGTAATTATTATCTTTAAAATAAAATAAAGCCATATATCGGTGCACCAAATACGATCGCCTAAGTTTATATTTAAAGATCAAACAACGTACACTAAATTAAATAAAGCTAAACTATTAATAACTATTATACAGATATCCCTCCTTCATAATTACACAGAAGATACAATTTTAACGAGAGTGATACCGAACTTCATTAACACAAACCTGTTCTTCTTCCGCTGTTAACGAGGAAGCCATAGTGTGGGCAACAATAATCATTATTTATTAAGACAACATGATTTTTACGAAGTAAATTACACTTCGGTGTACTCAACTAACATTCTACGACGGAAAATTGTCACTTTGACAGACAACACAAACACACTTCATGCTTTCTGCTCCTACTTGCGGAACCGTGCACCCAATCCAATTGCCAGATACAAAAATAACAATCTTCGATTAGTTAAAAAAATATAGAATACCTTCATGGTTTATATAGTTACACTACAGTTATTCTAACCTCCTTGCATTTTACAGTGAAATGAAACTCATTCTACAATGAGACTTTTAAAAAGTAGGGGTCGAAAAGAAATTCTGAAAGTTGGATTCACAGCACTGGTGAGTTTTGATTAGTTTTTCAAAAAGTCAAATGTATCCTGAAAATAATTAGAACATTCTAAAAACGTAGCATGAGAAATGTATTGACGATCACGCAGGAGGTTTTAATAATTGCATTAGATAAAGCTGATCAACACTATATTAAACAGAAGCGCACAGAAAAAACACTTTCATTAATGTGCATAATAACAATTAATGGAATTATAACATTTCAAACTGTCGTAAATTTTAAAATTTGACCTCTTACGATCCTGAGAGTCAATCAAATGCTCGCACCACGAAGCAGTTGAAATATCAGAAACTACCGCATAGGAGCTCTTTTGCGATAGACAAAGGAGACTACCGCTAAACAAAGGAGAGGAAAGGTGCATTCAAATAACAGAGCTGCTTTTAGTCGTTTCAAAAGAATGGTTGGTATGTCATTTAACAACTCCTGAAACTAAAATGCCACTGCTCACATTGGAATCAAAACTCTTTTCGTGCTTTCGGGTGCCCTTATTCAGGTGGAGTATTACGTCATTCAAAATTTGATGGTTCTATGTACTGTTGTTTATTCACAATGCGAGAAACATGCATACATTCATGCAGATT